GGGTCGTTAAAGTCATGCACAGAGGACAAAGAGGAGGCAGAAATGGGCAAAGCTGGGCATCTCGGGCGAAAGAGGAGGTGGTCCCGCCTCAGCTGCTGGCTGGGGTCTCCTGAGCACTGGCGAGGGAGCATCTTCCGTCTCCCGCCTGCTCTCTTCTCCCCTCCCTTCCCTCTCTGTCCCCCCCCCTGCCCCCGCCCCTCCATCCCTTCCCCTCAAGCCTTCACCCACCGTGGAAATGCACACGGAGGAGGCCTCTGGCCTCTCCCCACCCCCAGCCCCGAGGACGCCATCTGGCCGAGCTCCCGGACGGCAGCCGCAGGCACCAGCTCTGCGGTCATTTGTGTGAGGGTGAAAGCGTGGGCCGGTCGAGCTAGGACTTGGCGTTGCTGAGCTGAGTTAAAGATGAGTCAATAAGGAGACGTTTTGGGCCCTCAGGGGGGCGGAGCTGCGTGGTGGTTTCTGATGGGTTTAATTCCAGGTGGTCTCAGAAGGCGCTGCCTGGCGGTCCCACGTGACCTCGTGGCAGGGAGCCGGAATGAACCTGCTGGGCCTCCCGTCGCCCTGGGGAAGTGCCCTGGGGCCCGGGGCTTCCTTCCTATCTCGGAGACTCAGTTTCCCCTCTGTAAAAGCAGGGTGGGGACAGGGCTCACCCCAGGGTTGCTGTGGGATGGGATGGGGCCCTGCGGATTCGGACCTTCGGCCGCCTTGTGGGAGCACCGTGGGGCTCGGAGGTAAAGGGCCGTGGCCACCCCCGACGCCGATGCCGTCCTGTCCACCAGCATCACGGGCCGCATGGAATCGCAACTCGTTCCCCAGTATTTTCCCAGCTCGTGAATATTTTTTCTGCTCTAGAGTTATTTTATTAAAAGAAATGGAAAAAACCAAAAACAGGCCCAGCCTTCACCCCCTCCCCAGCACCCACCGAAGCCCTGGCCCTCACCCCCTCCCCAGCCCTCACCCCTCCCCAGCCCTCACCCCCCCCAGCGCGCACCCCCTCCCCAGCCCTCACCCCTCCCCAGCGCGCACCCCCTCCCCAGCCCTCATCCCCCGAGCGCGCACCCCCTCCCCAGCCCTCACCCCTCCCCAGCCCTCACCCCTCCCCAGCCCTCACCCCTCCCCAGCGCGCACCCCCTCCCCAGCCCTCACCCCCCCAGCCCTCACCCCTCCCCAGCCCTCATCCCTCCCCAGCATGCACCGAAGCCCCGGCCCTCAGCCCGTCCCCCGGGGTTTGGGGAGCCTGCCCAGGCTGGGCCCCGCTGGGGATCTTCAGCGGCCGTTTGAAGCCACGCAGGTGGTCACCGGCGGGCAGTGCTGGGTGGAGCAGGTGGGCTGCAGTGTGGGCGGCTTGTGGCTGAACTAATGTCACGGGAGGGAGGGACAGGGGCCTGGGAGGACAGAGCTGTCACAGAGCCTGCAACCTGACAGCCTCGGAACCTTCCAGAAAGGAGAGGAAGCAACTGGGAAGCCAGGGACAAGAATAGGAGCAGCATCAGGAGATGCTGGCTGCGCGTCAGGCCCAGAGCGCCGGCGAAGGGACCGCAATGGGAGGAGGGTGGCGTTTCCTGACCGCCTCCTCCCCAGGCCCTTCTAGATGATGCGTCCATACTTCTACCCAGTGAGACAAGCCAAGGTCGGCTGGGGGATGAAATGTGGAGGAAGGCTTTGTCTTTACAAATGCACCATCTTTGCTTCGACTTCCCTCTCCTTTTGCACCTGGAGCAAGGCTGTGATGGCTTGAGCAGCTGCAGCCTGGTGGGACATGAGCAAACAGCCCGGGAATGTTGAAGCTCCGGACATAGCGCTGAGCTTCTCTGTCCATCCCCAGCGATCTCCCCTGGCGATGCTGTTATTTGACAGAACTCTATCTTTGTTTATTAAAGCTAGTGTTCAGTTTTCTGTGGGCTGCAGACAAAAGCATCCTTTCCGACCCAGAAGCATCTCTAGTTGCACTTGCGGTGGGAAGTGTGGTCTGACGAGGGATGAGCAGGGTAGGGGCGAGGAGCCGGCTCAGAGGCCGTGTCTGTGCCCGGGGCGTGGCCCTGTGGTCCCCATGGTCCTCTTGACGGGCATCAGCCCTTAATCCCCAGAGGAAATCCCAGTTTTCGTGGTACGTTAATCCGAAAGTATACAAGTCAGAAAAGAGAAACGAGCTCGCTGGCCTCCCACGGCTTTGATTCTTTAAACACCGCAAAATGGAACTTCTGGTACATGCAGGGATTGTTATGTGCTCTTGCGATTCTATGTAGAAAAAGCAGCATGCGACCCCTCTCCCGAGAGACCCCCGGCCCCTCCAGGGGGCAGCGTGGCAGGCGGGACCCGTCCATCTGTCTGTCCTCAGGAGTCTTCTGAGTGCCCATTGGCTGGAGGCAGCACGTGAAACTCCGACCAACTGTGGTATAAGGTGAAAAGTTGTCTTTTTGTTAAAAAAAAAAAAAAGTGTTGCCCGACTGGGCGTGGCGGTTGGTAGCCGTGACGCCAGCGGGTCGGATGGCAGGGGAAGGATCACCGCGAGCCGAGGCAGGCTGGACAAAACTGTGAGACTGCGACCTAGCCCAAGTGACAGAGCGAGCGCCTGCCTGGCAAGCCAGGGCCCCGAGCTCAGTCCCCAGCCACCCAAAACACAAGCGCTCAAATAAAAGATAGCGCATGAACAAGTAAACGTCGGCAGGATCGGCAGGTCCCTGCAAAAAGTGCAAATGGAAAAGAAAAGGGATTCAGAGCCATCACCGATCCCAGCGTACGTTAGTGAGATGACTTAATGCTTCCTTCCAGCACCGGCTGTGCTGGGATTTTAAAAAATGAGCAAAAACGGAAGCAGCAGTCACTCCAGGCCCCTCTGAGCTCGCTGGGTTAGAACCGGGGCCGGGCTGCAGAGCAGCGGAGGAGCTGAAGTCGGCCCAGCCGTGTCCTCTTCCCCTCCCCGCTTAGTGCCCCCTGGGCCCTCCGCAGACACGCCACCGCACCACGGGAGCGGGTGTCCCTGGACGCTCGGAGCCGCAGTGTTCCCTTTTGAACAGAGCGTTGTGGGAGTTTAACGCATTGTCCTCAACGCCGCTCGCATTTCCACCCCAGGTGCTTTGGACAGAGCCAGCGCTCAGGCTGCCTGAAGTGGCCAGAACCCAGGGCCTGGCTGGAGAGCCTCGTTCATTTGAATCCAGAGCTGACTCGCTTCTTACCAAAGCGTGAAGCGTGGTTTTTAATGTAGTTCTGGTTCCTGCAGGACGGAGGCAGCACAATGGAACATAGATCAATTAGGTTCTCTCGCCCTCCCCTGCCTTCCCCACCCCCGGAGGAAACCCTGGGCCCCGTCTCACAGGCCTGGCTTTGGAGGTGACCTGGAAAACGAGGGTACTTAGCAAGAGACACTGGGCGAGGCGGGACTGCTCTGTCCCAACCACAAGGTCTCCTTCCAAGGGGACAGAGGCCCCAGGAAAAGCCATCCGGGCAAGAGGAGGGGAGGGGAAGGGAGGGCTGGTACCTGCCCGGTGTGTAAGGAGTGTGACGGCCCAGCTCCATCACGTGGGAAAAGATACCCACACCCCCGTGCAGTTACCATGGTGACGGAGCCGGCTGCTGCTCCTCCCTGGTCCTTCGGCCTCCTGCAACGTGGCTGCTTTCCACCCACCCGGCCGTGGGCTGAGACACGTCAGCGGCTCTTCTGTGGAGAAGGGAATTTAGGTTTCTTTTGCAAAGTTTTGCTGCACAAGAATTAACTTCCAGCCTTTTTTATTAAAAAAAAAAAAGAGAGAATTTAGGGAGAGGTAGACGGCGTTGTTGTTGTTTTTTAATCTGTATTTTCAGAGAATCCAGCCTAGCTATTAAAGTCTCTTGCTTTTGTTGTTGTTGGTTTGATTTCTTCTTTTGTAGTTTCTTCGCTGGCTGCCCGTGTGAATTCCTGCACAGGGCCGGAGGCTGGAATATGGAAAAACTTCCACATTTCGGTGTTCCCGAGGTTTAGATGTTATAACACGGACACAGGAACCAAAGGGACCTTCGAGTTGCAGCTCAGGGTGCGTCCTAGAGATGCTTCTTTGGGTGGCTTCCAGAAACCCCCCTGGACTGCGTGCAGGTGGGCTGGTGGTACAAGGCTGAGGCTCTGGGAAGGTGGGCAGTGGCTGCCATTGCTGAGACAGCAGGATCTGCAACCCCCCCCCCCTCCCCCCCCCGCATATCACAGACAGACAGACCAATCCCGCAGCAAGAGGTTGAAGGTTCACAGACACGCTGCATGGCCGCGTGTCTTTTCTCAGTGCGGGGCTCTAGGGTGTGGGGGGGTGGGGACACTGCCCCACGCACAGCGTGGATCCCATGGAGAACAAGCCCAGAGGCCAGACTCCCGCCCCACCGAGTCCTGGAGGAGAAGACAATGGAACGGTACCACGGGGTACACCGCTCATCAATTTACCTCGATTCAAGGAGAAATGCACCCACGTAAGCGAGCGAGAGCAGCGGCCGAGGAAGCGGAAATGTTTTGTAACTTTTTATGAATTTTAAAACTTTTTATGGCGGTGGTGATGGTAATGGAGGTTGAGGTAAAGCCCAATAAACCTGGAATAGTTATTACCTCAATAATGATGGGCGCGTGGGGGTGAGCTGCTTTTATCTACAGCCTCGCCCTTTCTCCTCCGATGTGTCCTAATGCGGATTGCAGACCCTCTTCTGTGTGAAAACAACATGTCTTCGCTTATAAATGACTTTTTTGGCACAAGTGCTATGCAGGGATGGCCTCTGAAACATTAATGATAATGACTTAATAGTAGTTAATACTCAGCCACTGTCAAACTTGCTGATTGCCTCAAATTGTGTTTTATTAGAGCCATTTTGTTTGAATCAGGATGAAAAGAAACTACGACGCCCCCCCCCCCCTCCCAGAGCCTCCCAGAGCCTCCCAAACGGTGACGTCTCGCTTTCTCTCTTCTCCCTTGTCATTACTGCCCTGGAAGCGCTGGATGTTTACGCTGTGTTATTTCTCACGTCTGGGGGCGGGGGGCAGCCCACACCTTGGAAATGCTCGGAAACTGGCTGCCTGTGCCAGGCATTTCCTCTGAACTGGGGGCTCCGTTTTACCTGGAGAGCTGGGTAGCAGGTAGCAGACTTCCCCTTCTGTTTCCTGGGGGGGAAATCGAGCAGTGCCGGTGTTCGCTCTCTAAAGGTCTCAGATTCACCTGTTACTCCGTCAGGTCCTGGGCTTTGTATCACTTACTGCTCCCCGCTTCTTGTAGATCTGCTTATGTATGGCATTTCCGTACCCCCAGTTCATGGCGACAGAGGGAGTTTATCGCCTGGTTGAGTTCTCTGTGCTTTTAAGTCCCGCGGTATTTGTTTCACAGCATTGGGTGTATAAATGTTTCATGACGATTGTGTCCTCTTGATTATGGATTTCTCCCCTTATTAATAATAAAAAGAGACCTCTATCTCTTCGGACTAATTTTGATCGGCAATCTCCTTGATCAGCCAGGAGCGTAGCTACGCCTGCCTGTATTTGCAAGCCAGGTGGCTGTGGGATCACCTGCCCATCTTTCACCAATCTTGTTTTTGCTGCTAAGCTGTGGTTCCTGCACACATCAGGTGGTCAGGCCCTGCCTTTCCACCCAACTCACATTCCCGGTGTTTTGGTCGGAGAAGTGAAGCCTTGGACCCTGGTGTTAAAATGGGAAGGTATGCATCCGTTTCTGCCTTTATTATTACATTTTGAAGTTAGCATTGAAGTCTTTCCCAGCCCTCCTTTCCCTGACTTTCCGGCTGGTGGGTTTCCTCTACTGTTTTCACGTTTCCCTTGGTCTTCCTCTCTGTGAACAGGGCTCCTTGGAGTGTCTTTGTAGTGCTGACTGTGGTCACCAATTCGATTTCGTTCCTCATATTCTTATCTGTGCTGGGTGGACCATTCTGCGTCCTTAGCTGGTAATTCTGGTGCTGCAGATACCTCATGCTGAGCTTTCCTTCCTTTTCAGTGTGGCTGTTTTTCTGGTTTTCCATTGCAACACCAGAGATGTTCACCAACTCTTAAGCAAGTGCAGAGTTTGGGAAGCTGTTCTTGTCTTTGGAAACTTAATACACTTTTATGAGTTGCGATTTTAAAGGCATCTGAAGTACTTTTTACTGAATGCCAAAAAAAAAAAATGGCTCTAGAATTAGCCCCCTGATTTTCTTTTTTGATGTGTAAATCCAATGACCTCGGTTTTCAGATGGTAAACTAATGATCAGGGAAACTCAGTGACTCGTTTGGTGGGATCAGAATGAACCTATCCTAGCACCCACTTGTAACGCGCCCCTCAGCACCCCTTCACGTGAACTGCGTTTTACAGACCTTGGAGGTGCACGTTGCCAGCCAGCATCAGGTAATGAGTGCAGGAGATGAGGGAGAGCTCCACCCACAGATGGGGGGGGGGAGAGGTCCAACCCCCACCCAACACCCGCTCTGCTACCCCGAAACAAGCGTCAAACCCCGCGCTCTGCGTGGCCTGGGCTGTGAAGTGGGAATAATTGCAATCCATCATGCCATCTTGATGGCTTAATGAGATAATCCGGAGCTTTTATCTAGCACCAAGTCTTATGCAAAATAAGGCCCAAATCATGCGTCAATTCGGAACTATATATAGCTTATGAGCATCAAGGAAGGAAGGTCTGAAAACAGAGACAAGCAAAGACAGGGCCCCAGAATAGATGTGAGCGTCACAGAGCCACCCTGGGCCTCCCTGCCAGGTGTCACCCTTCCCGGCCCGAGGGGACGTCCCCAGGTTCCTCAGGTCCCTGCGTGTTCAGCGGCCTGACAGAACAGGCCACTGTACGTACGACGAGACGCTGACAGTGCTGTCTGGGCCTGCTCCGTGTCACAAGCCAAGCGCACACTCATTCTACGGAAAAGAGACTTGGAAGCTAGAGTCCAGCCAGTTCACTTGGCTTGCATTCTGAGCCCCTGAGGATGATTGCGTTCTCAGAGTGAGCGATCCACCGGCCAGCGTGGGGCTCCGGATCCGCAGTGTGTCAGCCGGAAGACGCCGAGTTCCCGGCCAGGCTGCGTTTCTTTTGGGCGCCGGGGGTTGAGTTGTGCGAAGGCAGGTCTGGGATCCCGTGCACTGTTGTGGCGGGAAGGAAGAGGGCCTCGTGCGGTGTCTGGACTTCGTTTTCTGACAGAGCCACGTCCTGCTTTGTCTAGGTCACTCGCTCCACGCGTCCCTCAATCCACACCCCCCCCATGGCTCCACCTTTTCTGAAGCCTTCCCCTTGCGCCCGCGTTGGGCCCCCCGCCACGCCCCCGTTTATAATGGAGCATAAAATATCGGGATATTTTATGGTAGAAGTTAGAAGTTTGCTCCGTCCTCCCTTCCCAAGCCGTAGCCACCCCCACCAGAGGCTCCACAGTCATGAGATAAAAATGCTGAGCCGGCCCCGGTGGCTCCCACTTGCAATCCTAGCTTCTCAGGAGGCTGAGATCTGAGGATCACAGTTCAAAGCCAGCCCGGGCAGGAAAGTCCGTGAGACTCTTATCTCCAATTAACCACCAGAAAACCAGAAGTGGTGCTATGGGTCAAGTGGTAGAGCGCTCGCCTTGAGCTGAAGAGCTGAGGGACAGCGCCCAGGCCCAGAGTTCCAGCCCCACAACTGACAAAAACGAACACATAACAACCACCCCACTGCGTGCACTTAGTATCTCATAAGACAGCTTTGTGCGTCTTTTCTATCTCAGAGTTCTGGTGCTGTGTTCCACTGGCTCTCTGCCTCCGTCGTCTGCTTTGAAACGCTTCACTCTGATGAGAAGCCGTGAGGTCCGGCGGTCTCTTGGCCGTCAGGAGGCCTGGCCGGCGGTCTCTTGGCCGTCAGGAGGCCTGGCCGGCGGTCTCTTGGCCGTCAGGAGGCCTGGCTCACGCCGCGCTCTGCTTTCTCATTCCGGAGCCCGCTCCATTCTTTACTCCACGTCACAACCTGCTGCCCGGGGTTTTACAGGAATCTGCCTGAAACCAGCCTTCTGGAGACCTCATCCACAGGAAGAAAAGATCACAGGAAAAGACATGCAGGACTCAACGCCCGGAAGGAATCACAGCTTACAGGAAAAAACGGGTTAAAAATGCATGAATAGGAAATCAACTTGTATGAGTTCGTGAGCCTAGCTACTCAGGAGGCTGAGATTTGGAGGTTCCTGTTTCTAAGCCAGTTTGGCCAGAAAAGTTGGTGCGACTCCATTTTCCAAATAATCAGCCAAAAGCAATGTGTAGATGGGAGTCATGTGGTCGATCACCAGCCATGTACAAATGTGGCCACAAAGCACAGGACTTAGCACAAGGGCGGGGGGGGGGGGGGGGGGGAGAATATGCTAGAAATTAGAAAGAAAAACAAGGCAAATACAAGAAAGACCCTGGATATTGAGGGAGAGGGCGGTTGTAATGATGCTTTTCTATTTTAATTAGATCTTCAGAGCAGATTGTCATCAATGAAGAAGGATCTAAACACCGTCTTACTGGACTGAATGAACAGAAGGGTAGTTTGGTTCTAAAGTGATTAAAAGCCAACAGTAATGGGCTAAAACTCATGTCATGAATTGTGCCCTAAAGCAGTTTTATTGATTTTTTTAAAAAAACACATCAATATGATTCCAAATATTACTGTGTTAACAAGCAGGGCGTTACAAAAATGAATTGATTGAAAAACATTTTTATTAAGTTAATAGGGCAATTATAATTAATATTTGAATTTTCAAAGTTAATTCAAACCACATTATCTCCACTTAAGGAAGCATAATAATAGAATCAAGCTAATAGAGTTATTTGGAGGGTAAAGTGAGTAGCTATTTAACTACCAACGGTTCGAGTGCTGTGTAAGTGCAGGCTTTTATTGTGAGGATAAATGAAGTACTTTAATTGTCTTGCGATGCTCACAATGCAGTTCCTCTAAACCCTTGAGGAGGTTCCCATGGCTGGATTATTTTCGGGAGAACAGAGAGACAGATGGCTTGGTGGTGGGGGACACTGAGCCCCGTGGTGGCATCTGGAGAACTCTGACTCCCTTGTTCCAGTTCTTGAGGAGTGGTGTGCAATGCGGGTGGTCAACCTGCAGGGGAGGAAGCTGCAGCGCGGAGGGCTGCCTTGCTGCGCGGGGCTCTCAAATGCCCCGCACTGTATCTCCCGGTGGCATTTCTGCCAGCAGGATGCTTGCCAACAAGAAAGCAAGCCGGGCGCCGGTGGCTCACGCCTGTCATCCTAGCCACTCAGGAGGCTGAGATCTGAGGATCGCGGTTCAAAGCCAGCCTGGGAAGGAAAGTCTGTGAGACTCTTATCTCCAATAAACCACTAGAAAACCGAAAGTGGCGCTGTGGATCCGGCAGTAGAGCGGTCGCCTTAAGCTGAAGAGTGTAGGGACAGCGCCCAGGCCCAGAGTTCAAGCCCCATGACCGACCAAAAAAAAAAAAAAAAATGAAAAGGGAAATGTTGAGAGCTGACATTCGTATTCCTCTAGACTCCCTCGTTCCTCCTGGGTCGCTGGGAACTGCTACAGGTTTGTCTGCCCCGATATTGCGGAGCCATCGGGTGTGGCAGGATCGGATCGGTTGTGGGCATCTTCTTTTTTCCCTCTTCCTTACCATGATGTATTCAAACTCCAGCCATGCTGTTCTGGGTCAGAATGTAAGTCCTGTAATTTCTTGTATAAATAGGTGGCTTCTGTATCTATTTGCTTGTGGGTGGATGCTAACGTTGGTTGTGGTTTCCGGCCGCTCTTGTTGTGATGCAGTTTCCTGGTGGTGGTTCACCTTTATTCTGTTGGAAAGAAACTCCATCCTCCTCCTGGAATGCCAATAAATACCTCTCTCCACCAACCCTAGGTTCTGTTGCTACTGAGTGTTTAGATACGTTCACTCAGCGTATCGTAGACCTGTTGCCGTCTCCGAATCGTACCGATGGGCTACGTCCCATTTCCGTCTCCGTGCCACCACTTGATGTGGAAATGGGAGTGTTGGGTGCTGTAACTGGAGTCTGTGCCGGCCTGTGTCACGAACAGTGACAATGCCTCCTGCTTTGGGACCTGGAGATATTTAATTAAAACATCACAAAGGTTCACTCACGCGGTGTGCGCCTTCTCATTATCTCCACACTGACGTGGGTTTTTTTTTCCCTGTGTATATGAAACCCCAAACTCAGTGAGAACAAATTACGGAAATACAAAGCCGCAGGAAACACAAAGCTGTTTGCTGGCTCAGTCCTGAGAGGATCCCGGCGTTCCTGCAGGCCGGAGGCTGTCCACGGTGGAGCCGGGAGCTGGGAGGGGCAG